GACAGAGACTTATAGAATGGGGGAGAAGCCAGAGCACATAGGTGTAGAGTAGGCATCTGGATAAGGGCGGCCTCAGACCAGAGACTGGGGAGGGTGCTCTTGCACAGTCCCAGAAATCAATGATGAGGCCCGACAAGGCACCGTCTAAGGGTATAAGTGCGGCACAGGCATGAGAGGGATTTATGAAGCAGATCAGGGGGCTTCCTAGGTGTCAATGAATTATCTTCCTCCTTGTCTCTGAGCCGTGTTCATGATGAACCTTGGAGTCTGGCAGTTGGAGGCTGAACTCTGTCTTTTGTTACTGGTGAGGCACTCTGAGGGGGACCCTGGATCAGTAGAGAGACATACTGAATCACTGCTAGAATCACTGCCTACACATGTCCAGCCAGTGTTGGGTGGGGCGAGTCTCCTAAGCCCCCTGCCGCCCATTGGGCCCCTGGAGTGGGGCTGGGGGCTGAGGCACTCAGGCTGCCAGGCCTGGAGCCTGAGCATATGTCTCAGCATCTGGTCCCAGCCAGCCTCCTGTTTAGGGCAGTGTCAGGCCTTTCAGAGCTCTGTGCCCATCCTACCCCCATCAGCCCCCACCCCTGTTGTCAGGCTTCAGTCCCCAGGAAAAAGGCTCTGCCCTGCAGAAGGCGGTGGACCTGCCCGTCCCCACACACCCCATATTGATCTTCTCAGGGAAAATCAATAGCTCCAATATGTCAGCTCTCAAGTGGCGCTACAGTGAATTACTCCCAGCACTGGGCACACAAGGGCTGTAGCCTCCCTGCCCATTAGTGGGACATTAGGCCTCATGTGAGGTTTCTCTGTGTGCTTTGAGATAATGAAAGCTGAGGTGTTAGTTTATGTCCTGGGGGGAGGAGGGAGGCTAGGACAAGAGTAGGCAGTGCTGGCAGTGCCAGGCACCTGTCACCAAGTGCCCGGCTGGGCTTGCTGGGATCAGGGAGGAGAAGGCCCCAGAGACACAGGGCCCCCCGGATGTATCCAGTTGTGGCTTTGCCGTCTCTGGACCCCACTGCATCAAAGAGTCAAGTACACCATAGCATTTGGGCCTGATGCTGCCCTCCAGCCAAAGTCACCAGGAACACACCTGTGGTTGAATAAGGTGGCTTTATGCTCCTCGCAGCCACGAAGAACATGCAGCATAGAGACGTAGGTATCTCAGTAGGAGGGTGTTAGAAAGGGCTGTGGGTTCAGGCCAGTGTTGGGCAAGGGGCTTTTCCCTGGGCTGTAGGCTGTCAGGAAGAAGTGTGACTCTGTGACTGAGTGCCTTTCTCAATTTCCTGGGGCTTCCTTAACAAAGGACCACAAACTGGGTGGTTTAAAATAACAGAAAGTTGATTTCTCACAGTTCTGGAGGGCAGAAACCCCAAATCAAGGTGTGGGCAGGGCCGTGCTTCCTCTGAAGTCCCCA